CATCTCGCAGGAGGAAGAGGAACCACTGTCGGCACCATCACTGGGGCTTCCTTCTGCCGCAGCAGGAACGGTTCCGGGCAACTGGTGCCCCAAAGAAGTCACAAGCCCACCAGGAACCACGAACTCCTTGCCTATCTCCATCAAATGCTTCATGACAGTTGGTGGCAAGCGAACCATCCAGAAAGGACGCCCTAGGTAACGCCTCGCAGTGCCTACTTCAGGCTCCGCCGCCTGTCCGTCTGCAAAGCAAGTGTAAAGGCCCTGGCGATCTGCAACGGCTTCGAAGATGACGCTTGGCGCAGCAGCTTGAAAAACCCATTGCGCTTGCCCTGCAGGCAAAACCGCCAACCTGCCAGCCAAGGCGGGCATCGCAGGAACAGGAGTCACCGCACCCTGGTTAGCAGCTGCAGGTGCCCGGCACCAGGCACCTGCCACTGCAGCCTGGGCAGGCCCCAACTGGACAGCTGCCCTGAAACGAAAAAGAGACTTCAAACAGCACTTGAACATCTGGTTTCGGGTTGTCTGGTTCTGGAGGGACATCTGCTTAGCGGCGAAATCTCGATCGCGACGTTTCTGACGCCGAGCTCGCCAAGTATCTTGCTGCTGCAAGTGCTCTTGGGCACCCAACGGCTTGATGCATTTTCCCCCAAGCTCAGCAACACAAAACAAATAATTCCCTGCAGCAGCGGTGCCCAGAGATTCTGATTCGTCGCCACAGGTTTTCGCATACAGAAACAAAACCTCTGCACGGGAAGCATTTCGAAGTCTGTCCCTATATCGAACAGTCCGCAGGGCACCTGCAGACCTGGGAGCTTCCTCGGCCTCTGACTCGGACTCTCTGTCCTCAAGCTCACCGTCCCCAGGATCTGGAAGCCTAAAGATGGCAGGCTCTGCCATAGCACTATGACACTACACAACGAAAAGATCTGGCTTATCTTGGCTTATCCAATGTAACACCTCAAGCAAGCTAGGCTATGCCTACTGCCTACGTCCTCTTGCAAGATTGGATGATAAGTTGTCAAGCTGTCACTGTCACGTGAGTCATGTGCCTGAACTGTGCTGCGATTCGGATTCCCAATTCCCAATCGAGTTTCGGCCCGGCGGCTGAGAAATCGCGGAATTCGAGTTCATAAAACAGCCGACAAAGTCAGGAAGATATGCTTGCTTGCGGTTTGCAGTTTGGGTTGGCTACATCACAAGTTGTAGGTTTGTAGCTTTCACGACGATTTTGTTCCAAAACGTGCCGCGTTTTCTTGGGAAGGGACGATACTTGTTTGGAGAGGCTGTTGTTCTTGCGCTGACTGATCGATGGAAAAATAATCAAACCCTACTACAACAAATCATTTTCAAGTCCAGGGCTTGGAACCCATGCTCCAAATGCCCTGAACCCTCTTGCGCGTCACGCCCCCCGGGCCTAGATGAATCACTTATAGACTCGCCCGCGCAGCTTGCAGTAAAGTTTCCGGCCTTCGGGCGTCACGAAGTAAGGCGTCTTCCCTGCGTACCAATGAAAATCGAAACCCTCATCCATACATCTCCTACCAACAGAGCACACCGGCGGCGTTGAATCTAGCACGTAGCATTCGAGGATTTTGTTGATTTCAGGGACCTCTAGCTTAACGGCTTCATTACCTTTTACCGGCCCGTTGGCGGTGATCAACGAAACAGGACGTGAGGCAGGTTCAATGGGTATGTCGGGGAAGTGAGTTCTGCAGTCCGACTTGCTGATGAGGTCCTCTTCACTTCCGGTGTCCGCTAGGAACTCTAAGCCGGGGACCAGACCTGCACATGACGGACGTGCAAGTCGCTCGCACTCCTCACAGAGGAAGCCTTCCTCCATGCATTCATACTCGCATCCCGCAGGCGTGTCGTGAATCATGCATTCGATCATGGTGGCAAACTGCTTTGCCCACACAAGAGCCCTTTTCAGATCCTTAGGATTCGAGCGTGGACATGCCTCGACAGTGGGATAGACTTCATCATAAACCCTGGGAAGGTAGGCATGCTTTCTCTGCTTTCCTTCCGGTTCGATGGCAATCATTTCTACGGTGCTGTCGAAACTCACCTTAGGGAGTTCTTGCATGTAGAAGATCGTCTTACCTACCCATGTGCTGCCGGGTCCTTTGGTTGGGGTCTTCCTCCAGTTGTAGATCTTGTTTCCAACAAAAGGGGAGACCGGCAAAACCTGCTCGAGCTTAGCTTGGCTCCTAAGCTTCTTGGGGTTCACAGGACATGAATTGTCAGGAACATACCAATCTGTTCGGTACTTCTTGTGATGGCGGATGATTTTGTTGCCGGTGAAGTCTACCTCCCAGTAGTCCTCGTCGTGTGACGCTACCATAGCGAGCTTTGGCGAGATCTCAAGATCCGCTGTATTCTCGAACGCGATGGCGCATGCGGCCGTCTTTGGGGCCTTGTCACTTGACTTAGCCCTGGGACTTCTCCCTCTGCGCGGAGCAGGAGAGTTGGCCCTGGGTGACCCTGGCTTTGGAGCTGCCGGGGCTGCTTCGGACTTGGGTGCGGGAGCTGACGGCTTCTCTATATCCTTATGCGGGAACCGACATTTGTCACCCTTGTTGCAATTGCCTTCTTTCCAGAACTTGCATGTCACGTTGATTTTCTTCTTTTGTTTGTCGCCTTTGGGGGACAATGATCTCTTCTTGTGAAGGAAAGGGCAGTTATTGCCTCGCTTACAAGTTCCTTTGAGGAAATCGTAGCATACTCCCTTTGGGCTAGGTGTCCTAGGCTTGCTGGGAGACTGGGATCTACCTTTGCTGGGTGATCTTGGCCTTGGGCTCTGCGATCTGCCACGGCCTCCTCTTGAAGAGGGGCTGGAAGTTCGGCCAGGAGACTTTGAGGCAGGGGCACCGTACTTATCCCCGTGAGATCTTGCGATGCGGTCACGGTTCTTGCGTTTGCGCTCTCGGGTCAAAAGATCCTTAAGTGACTTCACAAGAAACCTGTACGTGTGCTGATCCGTGCCCTCTGCTGCCCTGTCGTAAATTTCAAGGTCGTACTTTAGCCTCTTGGACTGCCTGAGTTCACGAAGGAAAATGTCTCTTAGGGTCGTTTCGTCCGGTGTGTGGCTAAGTCCAGACATGACAGATTCCCAGTTGCTAATGAACACTGAAAGGTCGTCATTGATTAACCTTACTTTCAGCAGGTCCTCCACGGAGTACAGTGAGCCAACCTCCTCGTTCGTCTTGAAGTACTGATCGAAGAGGTAGAGCACCTGTCGTCCTCGTACCGCCCTGAATTTCGCCGCTTCTGTCTCCTTAAAAATGAGGATTTCTCGGGAGAGTTCTCCCCTAGCGACTTTGGTGAGTGCAGCAAGAAGTTTCGTGTCAAGGGTGAGGAATTTCTCAGGGTCTCGAAGGGATTCCTGCGATGCGTCTTTGTCGTAGGCCTTCATCACCCATTTAAACGCCTCATCAGGAGAATCTGATGCTGCCCTGACCGCTTCCCTAGCTGCCGTTTTCCATGAACGATACGACTCTGGACTTGGGAACTCCGGAAGGCTGATGGACTCTGCTTCTTTCACCTTGGGTTTGTCAGCATCGACTTTGCTCTCACCCCTTATGTTTCTTAGGCTTTGAAGAATTGCCATTTGGGTCTCTAGGAGACCTGTGTTGAAAGCGTCCGTCCCTGGCGTGCCGGAATCGGCCGCTGGAGGGGCCGCTGTTCCTGGCGCTGCCTGGGAAGGTCCTGCCTTGGGGATTGAAGATGCTGTTGCAGACGGAATGGACTGAGCATTCAAACCTCCTGGATTCATTGACTCGAACAGACATCTGGCACCTTGGGGGATAACGTTCGGCATTGAGAACATGGGCGCTTGAGGAGCTTTGGGGACAACAGAGGGACCTGCAGGGGTGCTTGGAGCAGGCACTGGCTGACTCTTTGGAGTAGCTGGATTGTACTGATCCAAGACCTTCTCTAGTGCAGTTTCCGCAGAATCCAACCTGTCCTGAAGCTCTTCATTCTGTTCCCTACATACAGCAAGGGACGCCTCATACTCTTCTTTCTGCCTGTTCCTAAACAACTCAAAGTGTGCTTGGAACTGTTCAACCATGACTTCCTGGGAATTCTCGATGTGCCGTCTCGCCTGTTCTTCGAGGTTCTGTGCAAAGCGTGATTCCGCCAAGTGTTGATCCAATGCGTCTGTGATTCGGCTTTGTTGAAGTTCCGCTAGCTCTTGACGCAACCTTTGATCTTCGTCATAGGAATGCGCTTGACTCAAAGTCATTTCCGACAACAGGAGCCTTTCGCGATTTGCCGCCTTGAACTCGCTTTGTGCCAAGGCTGCTTGCAGTTCTGCTACCACTTCAAGGTGGTTTCGTTCTGCTCTGTGCTCCAAGTCAGCTGTGTGAATTGCGGATGCTTCTTGATAGGTCAGCATGTGTTGCCTGTGTCTTGCTTCTGCCTGAGCCTCTAGTTCTCCGACTTCCAGTCTGATCTGGTTAACGTGTACTTCAACACTATACTGTGGTGCGAAGACGTTGAATTGTTGGACTGAGGCTGGTGCCGGGAAAACTAAGCCGGGGGCGCCGCTCCCTGTATGGCCACCCGTGACCGGGGGCTGTAAAGGGTTCACGGTGCTTGTAACTGTATCCATATTTGCAGGAATAAGTTCCGGTTCGCTCATGCGCTGATTGATTGTATTGTAACCAACCAGTTGTGACCAGGCCGTAGGCTATACGGCTGATAACCTATAGTTGTTGTAAACCACTGCACACACGCACTGATAATACCCGTCCAAGTGTTAACAGCTAGGCACGGAATACCATTCGGATTCTACCTTTTTCACTGCCAGAGCACTTGTGCCACAATGCCGTACACACAACATGATACTTCACACGTGCACAAATTACAAAACTGAAGCAACAAAACTCCAATCCCTGCACTCTGAACCCAACTTGCAATGGATCTTTCAAGCACATCCAACGAAGATCCCAGATCAAGAACTGCTTCACAGCCCCCGAAGCCTTAAAAAACGTCTCTGCCTCCTCCTGGAGTTTCAGTTCTTCGTCCTCCTCTTCTGGGGGACCAAGATCCTGGTCCTGCGCAAGTTAGGATCGAAACCAACCGCGGCTATCGGGTCTCATATGTTACATGTCGGTATATTATACATATACATATACATAAACATATACATATACATCTCCATATATATATATATACATATTATATATATATATATATATGTATATGTATTTATGGTTTCAGGGGGTTGTAGTTATGATGGTTATCATGTCCATGATTGCGAGTCTGCTTCTATTGAGGCAAGCGAGCCCGAAAGCGATGCAGACTAGTCAGGGTTTAGGGTCTAGGGTCACTAATTGCCGTGAGCCAAAACCCCCACGCAGTTTCACTACCAAGGGTCCAAAGTTACCACGTTTAAACCGTAAGCAATGAGCCTGAACTTAAGCCAATCCACGAGTCCCAGACCCTGGGACCTAACACCAAGCTCCTTAAGCATTTTGAGCAGCAGCGAAGCCCTTACAACAGCAATTTAAAGTCGTTCAACACCCTAGACCCTGAACCCGGAACTAAAGGGTTTCTGTTGAAAACGCTCCAGCATGTCAGTGATCAGCACTTGTAGTTTGCAGTTGTGGCTAGCTTTCAGGGCCCTTGTATAGCTGCTAGGTACCTGTAGTCTGCAAGTGTTTGTGCGCTGTTATGCTTCGGCTCGTAGGGGAAGGCTACGAAAGGTAAGCCTCTTGAGCCATGTGTACTGTAACCAACAACTTGTAAAGCTGTACTGGTCGTTTGTTGTTTGTCGGTTCCCTTGTTGCTTCGTTGAGATCGTGAGTCGCCTCTGTGCCCAGCCATAGAAAACATTCTGCGTGAGCTTCGCTGCAGGGTATGGCCACCCAGGGTGCACACCTTCAACAGGTGATGAGCCCAACGCCTGGGCCAGAAGCAACCGGAGCGGTGGCTTCTCCGGCCTCTCTGCCTGGTGTGCGGGGAGGCGGGGATGCACCGCAGACTACAGTGAATGGTACAACCGCCGGAGTTGGAGTGCCATCGCCCTCTGGGCTTGCGCAGCCTATTGGGGATGGAATCCAGCAAACTATGATGGATGCGTCGTCGGGGCCATCGACTTCCACAGCTGGTCCAGTGCCATCCCCTCAGCTGCCACAAGAAACTGTTGGAACAGCCGGCCAACCGAGAGTTTCAGCAGTCGGTAGGACAGGAGGCGATGGAACACTAGGCCAGGTTGGAGGCTTGGGCACAGCTGGCGTTACGTATGAAGCAGTATCTACCACGGAGGTCGCTGATGCGAGTGGGGTGCATGGAGATGCAACTGCAGTGACTCAGGGTTTCAGTGTGGCCACCGAAAGTGGAATGGCTAGCGCTCAGATCAATGTTGCCGCAGGCGTCTCAGGGTACAACCCATCTGCAGCGAATCCTGGAAGTAGTGCTGAGGGCTTTGAAACGCCCAGATCAACGGCGTACGGGGCGTCAGCGGTCATGCAGACTGGGGCTCAGGCTTTTGCTAGTCAGTTGCTAGGAAGAGTGCAGTCTCTGTTTGGTGGCGCGGCGAACGTACAGCCACTGCCGCAAGGGTGGGCTCCCAGTCCACTGACTTCTCCTCCAAGGCCGTCGCGACCACTACAGCCCCTCGAGAGAGGAGGCCGCGTCCTGCAAGATGAGTGTCAAGTGCCGATGCCGTTGTTCACTGGTGCCAACGCGCAGCAGCTTGCTGCCATGGAGCAAAGGGCTCCCTTGCTCTACGGGTCTCCAGACAGGCATCCCCACACCGAGTCCTCATCTATTCCGCATGATGCGATTCAGGCAGAAGTGGCGCCACAGCTTGAAGGGTTGAAGCAGCGCTTGCGAAAGGAACAGGAGAAAACCGGTCGTGCTGAGGCTGAAGTCTGGAGGATTCAGTCTCAGCAGGCTGGTGGATATGAGGCGCCGGCGTTGCAGCAGGTGGGTGCTGAGGAGGTGAGTTTTAGTAGGTTTGGTGATAGTGGGCTTGGTTCGCGCACTGCTACAACGTCCGGGGATGCACTGACCCCTGTCCCTTCCTCAACTCCTCCTCCTCCTCCTCCTCCTGCCGCTGAGCCTCAGGGTTTAACTGGTTTGTTGTTAGGGTTGTTAGGTGCCGGTACTCGGTCCTCTAGCTCTGGACACCAGAGTAGCTCGAATGAGGAGGAGCAGGACAAGCTGCAGTTTGCAGCTGGCACTGGCAGGAGATTACAGCCGGGAGCAATCCCAGGCCGTCAAGACTTACTGCAAGCGTTGGCGACTGTGTTTCAGGCTGCGCTTCAGGTCGTGCAGGCAACACAGCACGCTTCGCACGCTTCAGGTCCTCAAGCTTCTCATCATTCCCTCCAGCTTTCAACCCAGGAGGAGCAGCCATCATCGCAGCTTCAACTCGCACTGCCAAGTGCCCCAACGCAAGACTCAACAACTGTTTCGCCCCAGGTTCTTCAAGGCATTTGTCAGGCAGTTGCCGCGCTGCTAACCAATCAGTTGTTTGATGCATGAGGTCCGTGCTCAAATGATGGTGCAGTTTAGAGGGAGTGCAGCCACCCTAAGGGTAGGCCGTGTGTTGAAGCCTTTTGCTTCAGCCACGCTGTTTTGAAAAGCAGGAAGTGCCGCTCAAGCCAACGAGAGCATATGTGCACTTGGCCCTGTGTTAATTCAGAGGTACAAGCCCAGGAGGAGCTGTCGTGATGAGCCAACTCCTTGCAGCAGCGAAAGCCGGTCCCCTGTCAGACCTTAACTGGTTTAGGTGACCCGAATTAATAGGTACTCGTAGTCCCGAACCTGTGTGCAGAAGGCCTGTAGCACTCGCTTGTTTTGCTGGGGGTAAACCAGCCAGGCCACTCGAAACCCTAATTTGTACCCTACGTGCACTTCTATGTACAGTCTTGGATATCCTCGAGAAAGTTTTGTTTATTACTTATGCAAAACGGCAAACTGGACTGATCACCCAGCTAGCCTCTAGATCAGACTTGTTGGGTGTTTAAGGCGTAATACACCCTTAACCACCCGCAACTTGCCGCGTCTGCAGAGACCGCCACCGCACAGGTCTCTAAACACGCTGAGGTGCCAGAAGGTTCGAGGTCAGGCGAAGATGACATGCTGTAAATACGCAGCTTGTGGCGTCGCCCTGACGAGCGAGCCAAGGAGGAGTGTTGAAAACGCTCCAGCATGTCAGTGATCAGCACTTGTAGTTTGCAGTTGTGGCTAGCTTTCAGGGCCCTTGTATAGCTGCTAGGTACCTGTAGTCTGCAAGTGTTTGTGCGCTGTTATGCTTCGGCTCGTAGGGGAAGGCTACGAAAGGTAAGCCTCTTGAGCCATGTGTACTGTAACCAACAACTTGTAAAGCTGTACTGGTCGTTTGTTGTTTGTCGGTTCCCTTGTTGCTTCGTTGAGATCGTGAGTCGCCTCTGTGCCCAGCCATAGAAAACATTCTGCGTGAGCTTCGCTGCAGGGTATGGCCACCCAGGGTGCACACCTTCAACAGTTTCCCTGAACATCCTGCAGCCCAAGCCGTAAACCCCTCAGCCCTAAACGCTTAAGGGTTTACGTGTCAGCCCCCAAAAAACCATGCCTTTTTAAGTGCTATATACAGAAAGGGAACTTCATACTAATAGGGAGCCCAAAAAAAGAAGGTGTTCTGGGGTTCAGGTGGGTTTTTTGCAGCCTTCGAGGGCTTTCACACTCTCAAACCCTAAACTCTAAACCCTTATAAACCCCTGTAAATCCTGAACCCCAATAAATAAACCTCCATAAACCACAAAAAAACCCTCAGCACCCCTCAACACCCAAATAAACCCTAAACCCTGAACCCCTAAACCCTAAACCCCTAAAAAAACCCTTAAAGCAAACCCTAAACCCCTAAAACCCCTTAAACCCCTAAACCCGGTGTTGGGGCCTCAAGGCGGTGAGGCTTTGGGGGCACCCGTCTTTCCTGCTCCTCGGCCGTCTCAAGTCGCTTGCCACTGGCGACCTTCCAAGTACTGGACTTAAGGTCTTTGGGAATTTGTCGGGTTAGGGCCTTTAGAGTGTAGGGTTTAGGATCTTTAGAGTTTATGGGGTTTAGGATCTTTAGAGTTTAGGGTTTAGGATCTTTGGAGTTTATTGGGGTTTAGGATCTTTAGAGTTTAGGGTTTAGGATCTTCAGAGTTTAGGGTTTAGGATCTTCAGAGTTTGGGGTTTAGGATCTTTAGAGTTTGGGGTTTAGGGGAGGGGTTTAAGGCCTTGGGCAGCCTTGGGGGTGTGGGGTTAGGACTCCAGGGCCCAGGCCAAGGCGTTTATCTGCAAACAGGCTGGCTTTAGGGCTTAGGGTTTGGGCTTTAGGGTTTAGGGCCTAGGGTTTTGGGCTTTAGGGTTTAGGGCCTAGGGTTTGGGCTTAGCGCTGGATGTCTGGGGATGTGCTTTGCATTCATCGGCTGCGAATGGCCCGTTCTGGGCGCGCACGGGCCAACTAATTCTGGATTCTACTTTCTGCAGAGCAACGAGAAGCATGATTCGTTCGCTTGGTGGCACGTTGCATGAAAAAGTGCTGAGATACTTTCGGCCGTCGCGACCCATGTTTCACTTCTCAACCGTCAGCCCCTCTTAGGGAGTTGCGGGAAACACGAGGCACCGGTCGAAATAGTAGCGTCCTAATGAAACAATGTTCCCCAAGTTCCAGACCCCTAACTCCAAGGAAACTCCATGTCTGAATTTGATTTTGGATACTACTCTTGATGATATAAATCCTGCACGACCCATAATAAGAAATACACCATAGTTCCCATAGTTTAGGGTCCTTAAGGTGGTGCAGGATTTTTATCATCAACCGTATCCCGAAGCCCATACAACTCTCCAATCACCACCTTACCACAAGATGGCCTCCTCTGCATCGCTAGGTTCCAGTTCCTGCTTTGTTGAATCTGCTCACTGGTGCCACAAGGGTTAGTGGGGGATTACTGTAGCGATCCGCGCTCCTGCTCCCCTTGGAGCACCAGAAATCGATCGCCGAAAGAACGATCTAGTGTTGATAGTAAAACTTCCCTGGCGTCGAGCATTGATTGGGGTTACAGTAGGGTTTGTCGACGGCCCATGCGACTCATCAGCAGATCTGCAAAAAGCTAAAGTGACAAAGTCACGGAAATAGAAAGATCCTGGTCATAGCGGCGGATAGATACAGCTCCTTAATTGCAGGATCAGGAGGACTTTGACCTCAGCAAGCATGATTCTAAGTAGGAATGGTTTAAGGTGTGCAGGAGAGGTAAGATAGCTATAGCAAGGTCTTCTTCTTGCCCCAATCGAGATACCCATAACCCTACTTAGAACTACCGATGCAAGAATGCAAGAGTGATCGAACGGCTTCTTCTCTTGCAGGGACAGTAGTCCCTTGGAGGGTGTTGTTTGGGGTTCCATCATACTATTAGCCTGGGGGTTACTGCTACTCAGGGCGATACAACACATTGCTGTGACATGCTCTGCTACGATCGTGCTGTGCCGCTTGCATTGCTGCTTAGCTGATCCTGCTGAAGCCTGCATAGCAAGTCGAACAACAAAGCCACGAAATGCTTGCAGCTCTTTGGCACCCTGCAAGAGCTGTAATTTACCGTTCAAGGAACATAAATCAACCCCAGTGCTCTAAACTGTCACCAAGCGCGTCCTGGAGAGGCATCTCCTCTGCGCAGCTAGCAAGGGACGCCTGGACTTTCTGTCAAAAACTCTACGAACTCAACATGTATCGCCCTAAGACACCCCGTACATTAAACACTTGATGTTGGGCTCAACTGTCTTCTGTCATGTATGTGGACATATGATTACACTGTTGCAGCAGCCGGTGCCCGGTCCCTTTGTGCTTGCACGCATAACATGCAGCCCGACAAATCTTTGGAGTTGTGTGCTTCAGAGATTTGGGGCTGCTGGCTTTCAGCATCAGAGTCAAACCCTACTTGTCGGGTATCATGGGGAACTAAAGGTTAACCTTCTTGGTTATATAGGGACTATACTACCCAAAAAAGGTTAAAGGCTACCTACTCTACTACTAGGAAACTGTAAAGCCCAAAAACCTTAAACTCTGAACCCACCATCTCGGATGTTGGCCCAGGAACTTCAAAACTATGAGGGCTTGATACAAGCATGTCGAGAGATGCAGAAGAGTGGTCCGTTCAACGACTCCTAGATCAAGGCAATGATAGAAGTCAGCAGTTGTAGTTTAGACTGCTCCAGGTGGCGCTTGTGGGGTCGGCCGAAACACAGAAGGCAAGTGCAGAAACCCTCAGCTCAAATGAATAGCAGAGCACCCACGACAGGAAACGCACGATAAGGCCTGGCAAGTCCTGCTGAGTGGCGAGGGTGTATTCAGGTTTGGCAGATAGTCAGCAATTGAAAGTGCTTGAAGACATCGCCGGCTGATTGCTTAGATCGAGGCTGTCACGTAGTGCTTGTGATTTCCACATTGCGGAGTGCTGCATTGGGACAAGGGTTGGAGTTGGAGATCGGCTGAATACGTCAGGATCGCGGTGTTCCTGGTTCAATGTCCAGCACATACAAACCTCCAGCAAAACATCAGGGAGTGTCAGTGAATTCAGACCCCGCATGGGCAACCCTGTGGACACAGTGCGTTCATTGAGCCATATAACTCGCACATAACATGGCCCTTTGTTGAATGCGCTCGGGAGTTTATAAATTTCCATATACTTATGAAAACTCCACATCCTAAGTAAATCCCGTAGCTCTACGCGAAGAGCAGTGCGTGCCCGGAGAGACATGGCATGCCTCGCCGTCCGACTCGTCTCGCACAGCTTCGTGCCCTCAGTGCCGCATGGGAACCCGAAACCCTGAGCTCTAAACCCGAAACCCGGAGCTCTAAACCCGGAGCCCTGTAACCCGAAACCCAAAGCACATGGGAGTTTCCGAAAATAGGGGAGCCTAATATAGTACCCTGAATAGTAGGATCCGTTTTGTAAGGACCCCCAAATAAGGTACCCCCCCCCCAAATTTTTGGACACTCCCATATAAACCCGAAATCCTAACTCGAAACCTGAGGTAGAGGACTTAGCACCGCTTGGGGGATGTCTGAGTTCGCGTATCCTCTGCACCCTGATTCGTGTCTAGTGCCTTGGGGGTTTAGGGCTTTTAGGGACTAGGGTTGACGCATCTTGAATGTACACCAGGACTTCAAGGGATTATCTGAATCGGATTCTGGCTCAAGGGATAGTCGGATGTTGAGCTTCCATGCTAACTCTTCCGGGCCTATGTGCTGATCTTTTGTCGCCTACTCCTATCTGGTATAAGATGCATGGCCTGTCCCTTCCAAATCTGCTGTTCAACTTAGACTGTAGCAGCCGTCGGACCGCCTCAAAATCTCTCGGCGATCTTGCACGGTCGTGTCTTCTTCTGGGTTTGCCCAGGTCCGCTGAAAGGTGGCCCACGTGCAGGCACTCCGGGCCAGCACCGATCACCAGATCAATTTGCTTATTGGGATCTTGTGATGCTCTCTGGAACCACTGTTTTTTTCCCATGATCTTCCTCTTTGTGGGTCCACTTGCCTTCGCAGCGATCTGACCCAGAGTCTCTGCAGACACGGCAATCCTGTGCCATGTCGTAGCTGCTCCTTGCAGAGGGTCTCTCCCTGACATCGATGCCCCAAACTATCGAGACAGAGAGTCCATGACCTTTAGGGCTCTGAAACTTGCGCTTGAACACACTCAAGACCATTTTCCCAAAACCGACCAATCTTGTCGTGATCACGCCGTCATAGTGTACCGAGCCTTCACATGGTCTGGGGACATTACCCCCTGGACCCTAAACGCTTAATTCTGCCTAAACATTTAAGCTTTGACCCCTACACCCTGAAGTCCAAACTCACCAAACCAATGCACACAAAACACGACATCAAGTGAGACACCCCACGAAAAGACCACACGTCACAAACAATTAGGATAAGAGTAGGATTTCGGGTTTAAGGTTGGGTTTAGGGAAGGAAGACACCTGGTACCCAGATCTCCACCTGTTTCCGGGTCAGAAACCTCCATTTGCAGTCCAGAAGCAACCCCAAACCCTGACACTAAACCACTAATTACCTGGACCCCCAAAGTACGTAGAGTAATAGCCTTTTATAGGTATTGGGCCATTACTTTACCTACTTTGGGGGTTTAGGTACACCCCGAAACCCTGAAGGCTTAGAAACCCGTGATCCTCCCCCGGGATCCTGCTGGGAACCCGGCCGACAGACACGGTTTCCGCTTCAGCAGATGCTGCATCCTCGGGCTGTAGGGCTTTAGGGAAAAGGCAATAGGGCTTTAGGGTTTAAGCTTTTTTTTTGGAGCTCCGTCCGTTTGTATAGGGCTTTAGGGGGTTTTGGGGGTTTGGAGCTTTCGGGACTTAGGGTTCAGAGTTTCCGCTTTCAGGTCTCGGTGTTTGAGGGTTTACGGCACGGGTTTAGCAGGCGTAGGCTCAGAAACCCTGAAACCTACGTCATATGCCTCCAACCCTAATCCCAAACCCCTAAACCCTAAACCCTAAGCCCCTAAACCCTAAAACTTAAACCCTCTAGCCCTGAACTCTGCTGGCTCCGACCTGGTCGTCTTCCGCGAGACCGACCGGAGGCACCGCTAATGAAGGCCTTGGTCATGCGGGCTACAGAAAAGGCGTTTGGGGGAGTAGGGTTTAGATTTAGTTAGGTACAGTATAACTTAGCATTGTTTAGGGTTCAGAGGGGGATAGAGGTGAGTGGGATCAACAATCCATAAACAGAGGTCTGTCATCCCAACTTTTGGGCCCTATGATGGTCTTGAGGGTCTTCTGAGAACGAGGCCAACCGACACCAGCGCCCGAAAGCCTGCGCACTCATGTCGACCCATATCCGCATACCCAGGAACGATAGAGTCGAAAACCACAGGCCCAGGACATGAATGGACGCTGTCTAGGTTAGCCAGAACCGAATAAAAAGAGAATGCGGGTAGTTTCACAGCACTGCTGAAATGGCACAAGTTGTCAAGCTCAGTCTGGCAGTTTCCGAAAAAGCTGTGATGACGGCTGCATGCAGCCAAAGCACTCTTCCGAATTGGAGGCAGGTGCCGGCACCTGGGAGAACGGAAGAAAAGGACCCAGTTCAGGTGTGTGCAGTATGGGCTTTTAGTAGGGAGCAACTAAGTTTGTTGGGTTTGGTGCTGCAGGCATACTGGTCCCTAAACCCTAAATCCTGGCCTATGGCAGGGAGGATTGGGAGACAAGGCCGGTGTCTGCGGGGCGTTTAGCTTAGGAGCACTATAGTTTGACGCTTGACACAGTAGCCCTCCCCAAGAGCGTGCCCACTTACAAAGCAAGCATCATCTCGAGTGTTGTGAACTTGTACGTAGGTAGGTATGTGCGTATGTGTGTGCGCGTATGTACGACCAGATTCGCCTGACATCCTCCCAAAAACCTGAAACAGCACGACCAAAGCCCTACGCGCCCAAACCTGAACACCTTACACCCAAAGTCCCGAAACCTACAAACCCTAAGGAATCCAAAGCCTTACACCTACTGTAGGGGACTGAATCATTACCTATTATACTATTTTGGGGGTTCCTTGCTATACTTATAGTATAATGGGCCCCAAAACCCTGCAAGTTATAGATGTTTTCTGTACACGCGTATGTACACATTCTTTGAGGATGCATATGTCGTCCTTCGTTTCGCTCTTCGTTGACAGGCTTTCGCCTGCATCGCCCCAAAACCCTATTCTAATTACTAAGGCCCCTATATTACATAAATCCCTCCTCCTGCGACCAGACCTCTAGCTCCTCTTCAGCCGCAGGCTTTGGAGGCTCCTTCCGCCATGGTAGTGTTTGGCGCTGGGGGTATCTTTAGCGTTTTGTGGTTTTAGGGTTCCTTTAATGGGTACTGTCGGGGCTTTATCAGGGTCTTACGAGTCTTACGAGGTGTTCAGAGCTTTAGGCTTTAGGGCCTCAAGGTTTAAGCTTTTGGGCGGCAAGGTTTAAGCCTTAGGGCCTTTGAGGTTTAAGGTTGTGTGCTTAGATCTCAAGTTAACGAAGGTGAGGGCATAGGGCCTGTTTTTCGGAATCTTGCGTTCCGACTTGCATAGCTCAAAGACTCCCAAGACAGAATGTTGTGATTGTGGTAGGGCTTAGTGGGTTTTGGTTTCAGTACATGGGTTGGAGGGATAGGTTTGGGAATCCTTATCAAGCCCAAAAAGGAAGCCCTTACAGGAACCCAACAAGTCTTGAGGTTGAGGAAGTTTAGGAAGCCGCAGATCGGCTTTAGGGTTAAGGTGTCGTACAATATTCATAGGGATCCTTAGGGGTGTAGGGGGAGGGGGGGTAGGGGGCCTTAAGGCCCATAATAAGGACTAATAAGGCCTATTTAGGGGAATATAGTCCCCTACACCCCTCCCCCCTACACCCCTAAGGATCCCTATGAAATATTCTGGTCGAAGACCAAGGACGGAAGCGATTGGCGCACCACAGGTTCCCTTGGGTTCCATAGCGCAGAACGCGAGCCACGATTTGCTGGCCGGGCTTGGCGTGATGGGGCACAAATACTGCAACTGGCAATTGCCATCCTTCGCGATCGGCCTCTCGCACAATATTCTGGGTGAGGATGGCCAGAATGACAATTTATTGATTTTAGGCTATGCCAGTGTGCCCACGCAAGAATCTTATGAGATTGAGGGGTTTGGGAAGTGGGGTTGAAAGGGTGACATAGGAGTGCCTTCAGCCAGAAGTGCTATCCTTCGCAAGAGCCTATACTATGGGGGCTTGGCTTGAATTATCAGACAAGGGCTGGGGGGGGAGCGGGGAGTTGCTAGTGATAGTATAAGGCATTCTGAATGCTTTGAGGAACACCCATGAAAGATACTTTTGCTCCAAATTCCCAACACCCCTAAACCCCAAAACCTTCATTAAGTCCAAGACCACCCAAAACGGCAAACCCCACTATCGCCCGTCGACGCCGTGAGAACAAACCCGGCCTCCACGTCTCCTTCTGCCCGCTCCTGACGTTTAGCAAGGCTTTCTCTGGGTTCTTGTTACAAGGATGGTAATGTTGAAGCTAAAATAACTAGGAAACTACATTATGGTTCAGCACGGCTTTTCAGAAAATGGTCTAAGATTGCTTTAGAATCGAAGGTTTAGGGCTGAAGTGATAGGGTTGCTCAGCGAGTAAGTAAGGGTTCTCTAGAGTGTAGGGTCGAGATTGAGGGTTTCTTGAATCATTCGGCTTCTCTATCACAAAGGGCCCAAGTACCCAAAAGTCATATACTCTCCCAAATATTGACCTGCATAACTACTATCCTAAACCCAAGTGCCTGATTATTGGGTCCCCTTGGACCCTTGGAGTATTGTTCAGGATGCACCGTCTCTTCTGTCGTTGGGGGTTTGTGATGCTCCTGCGAGGCTTAGGTTCCACAGTGCCGCAGTGCGGCTCATGGACGGGAGTAGTAGGAAAGCTACAAAGCTGAATGCAAGGAAAAAACGAATAGTAGGACTTTTCGAGCTGCAAGACCATTCCCGAGTAGGGTCAGAGTTCGGAGCTCAGAGCTTTAGGGCTTAATATAGGGGCCTTAGTAAGGTTTTGGGGAACATAAACTATACTAGAAATAAAAGAAGGAGCCCCTATGATAGTGTTGGTAATTATTTAGGCCCCGATATGAAGCGTTTTGGTTGAAGGTCGAAAATGCAAACCTCATCTGATCTCGGCTGTGTTTGGTTGCATCACTGCTGCACTGCAGCGCTTGGAACGCTAAGCCCGAGTCCAGAAATCAGACACTGGAAAAAAAATCTCATACTCTAAACATCTCTAAACACACAGCCCTAAATTTCCAGCCCCCAACCTTAAGAAACCCTAAACCCCCAACCCTTGAGCATTTGCCTTCAACCCTATGGAGATCCTAAGCCCAGAGATCCTCCAGCCCACCCCAAGAAAAACCAGAGAACTCGACCGGCCTGGTTGGGCCCAGGCCGCTCCGTCAACTCTTCGCCCTGCCGGAAACACTCTCAAAAGGGCTGAAGTCTTTAGTAGAGCCCTTATAGGGCCCTTATTCCGCCCATAACAATGCGTATTGAGGCTGTTGAGGCTATGATAGAGGGTATGTGGGTTGGTGTTGAGGGTTTAGGTGTGCTTAGTGTTTGGAGGGCTCGTGCTCAGGATGTTGTTGGAGATTCGCTTCATCTGCAAAACGAAAGAAAGCGTCTCGAAGACTTGACGCCTTGATAACTGCTAACTCTAAACTTGAGAAATCAGCATGCAAATATCAATAGCAACTCAATTTCCCAACTCTTTTCAACTTGGTTGAAATTATTGTTAAGAAACCCTAATCTGTGCCGGAGCTTTCTCAGGCAGAGCAAAGTCACAAAGCCTAGGCACTCCGAACTACCCACGCCCCAGCACAAAAAAACACCCAACACCAAAACCGGCACTCAACAAAGCTTCGATTAACATGATACTCGGTGCAGTAATAATAGATGTAACCGCGGTATGGAAGTTAAAGTTACTGAAAAAACAAGGCTTCAGGATTGCATAAACACTCAGTTTAAACATATGTATATATATATATATATGTATAAACATATACATACATATATATATATATATGTATATGTGGGCGGTTGTCGAAATTATCGCCCCTTTTGGGTTCCCTTAAAAAGTACGGTGCCTAATTAATCATTAGGGTACCCGATATATACATATCTGTATACATACATACATATATATATATATATATATATATATATATATATATATAAATATATACATATACATACACACACGTACACACGAATCAAACATCAAAAGAACCAGCGCCAGTGCCTGCGAAGCATCCGGAGGAGTGTATCGAGGCACTCGAGGTTTCGATGCATCTGAAGGCACATCGAGGTTTAGGGTTGAGGGTTATAGGGTTTAGGGTTTAGGGTCGATAGGGTTATAGGGTTTAGGGTGTAGGGTTTAGTGTTTAGGGTGTAGGGTTATAGGGTTTGGGGTTTAGGGTTATCGGGTTAAGGATCATGGGCTAGTGAGACAGAAGCCCACTTCGGATGTGAATGTTTATGCGTAAGGGTTCAGGGTTCCAGGCTTAACCCATAAATTAGAAGGTACTGTGCTGTTGAAATCTGGCTTTTGAAGCGGCCTAGCTGCAACTAGCAGTTGCCACAGTGGACTAGGTGAGATGACAACACAGGTCACCACAGCATAAGGGGGCTCGCCGCCAAGACGCTCCAAGCACTAAAGCCTCAAATCCACCGGCAATTAGCACAACAGATCAAAACATCTGACAGTCATAATCGTCATCTACTCACCTGCCGACTCATCTACACTGAATTCGATGCTGAAACCAGAAAAGAAATCAATCAGGGCTGGCGCAGCCTTTCAAGCGAGATTCCAAGTAATGCGGTGTTTTGGTACCGTACCTACAAACTCTTGTCCACTCAATGTCAGTGCACTCCGAGAACAAAACCCAAACACCCCAAGAGCGCCCAAACGCCGGCGAAGCCAAAAGCCGCCTGCACCGCCGTCCGTGGGCTCCGCGTTGATCTCCAGGCTCGGAGGCCTGTGGACTGGCGGTTCAGACCCTGCCAGGTGTCTGCAAAATCGAACCGGCCAGAAAGCAAAAACAACAATATCCCTTGGGTCCAGACTCTGTTCGAGATGACCCAAAAAAATCCCAAGGGAAACCCCAGATGCTCATGTTCCGGTCCCCGTCTCAAGAGGCATTAACCAAGTCCAGCGGCAACGCAGGGATCTCCAGAACGCCCTGTTCCGGTCTATAGCCTGTGGAGTCCCCCAAAAGGGGTTCAGGGTTTACGGTTTGGAGTTGAGGGTGTCGGTTTAGGGTTTAGGGTTTATAAGGGTTTAGGGTTTAGGGCTCAGTATGTAGTAGATTGTTGAGTGGGGCTTTTAGACTTTAGTAGATTGTTGAGTGGGGCTTTGAGTTTGAGGTTGGAGTTCAGGGATCCATTGGTCCATCGTGTAGGGCTTTAAATTTAGTTGGGGGTTGAGGTCTGGTGTTAGGGGTCTGGCTCCACGCTGTTGACCTCTGGGTTCTGTATAATATAAGGGACGGTTTAGGGTTTAGGGTTCAGGGTAAAGGGACTATCGTAGTTTGCAGTTGTAGGTCTCTGACGATCGCGGTTTGAACCACGTTTGCCGCCTTGGCTTTAGAATAGCTGTGGGTCCGCGATTTAGGAGTTGGTTTAGCAGACTTCAGAGGGCGGTGCTTCAGGAAACGACGTGAGAACGGAAGTCGTCGATGTAGGGCGTGCTTCTAAAACTACACTTAGCAGGGCCTTATGCGAGGGTTCAGATGCATTTTGGGTCCGGTGGCTCGGATTCGGGGTAGGTAGGCTGTGCAGTTGCCAGGTCCGAAAACGGCCAGCAGCCACCCCTGCGCCTCTACCCATGTCTTGTACATTCTTAATCACCCGAACCCTAATGAGTGCATTGCCATACATCGAAGCCTGCATGTTGTAGGTTATTAGACGGAGCACCCGAGTCCTTTACAGGAAGCATGTATGGAGGTGCGTTCACCAAACAGACAACCCGAAACTGAAATCGAACCCATTGCCAAAACCAAACACTGCAGCTTAGGGATTGGAAATCGAGATTCATGGTTCACAGCTTAGGGCTTCACGGCCAATGGGATTCCGGTTTGCATGAAAACCATGGGCATTGAGGTTGAGGGTACAGTAGCAGGCAAAAGGAGCACCTGCCTGCACGAGCGTCGACAGTCTTCACAGGAGTCTCGGCAGATCACGAGAGTTGTTTTTTTTTACGATTTCTCGCTTAGTTCTTAAACCCTAAACCCTAATATATATATATATATATATATATATATATATATATATCCTGGACCCTCGAATGTAGCACAAATTTGTGCCCAGGGCTGGGTGTTACACTTTTGTGTTTGAGGCCGTTCCTACGTGCACTTTCTAATTATATCGTGCGCTTTTGCTGAAATACGTGCGCTTTTGAGATCTCATGATATATGTCATAGAGCCGTTTGGGCTCCCACGATCCATATATATGTGCGACTATGGTCGTCTTACTTCTTCTTGGAGCCGTGCGCCCACCCCTCTTGGAGAGTTTTGTGCGAATGTGCATTCAGCATTATGGGTCTGTAGGTTTGTGCATGCACATTCGGCCAGTGACGGCAAAGTCAAAGTCCATCGGTTGCCTCAGCTGCAAAACGCAGGTACTGCAGTTGCGGCTGGGCACCTACTCGGAAAGCTGGTGTGCCTGGCGAGGTTGAGGGTTCAGCGGGCATGATGTGCTGCGATCATACTATTGCACGCATGTTAACTTGCGCCCGCTGCCTAGCTCAACAGCTGGCTCGTCTCGTGCTTCCATGCATGTGCAATGTCGAACTCGATATCGATTGCATTTTGCATGCTGTGTTTGCCTGCTACCTTTAGGGTTTGCCGTGGGTTCTAGCAGCCTAGATTCTGCCATGGCTGACTCCAGCAGGGTCCGTGATGAAGAGCAGTGCCCGGTGCTCTCAGCTTGGTCGAAGAGCACGGTCGTGTTGGGGAGGCTTTTGGAAAAGGACTTGTTGATCTTGAATGGTGGCAAGACAAACAAGCTAACCCGGCATACCTGCGTCGCAAACCGGGAGTTGCTTGTGCCGCTGATCAACCTCGTAGGCTGCTAGCCTTAATATGTGCATGAATGCAGTGGAATGCTAGTATTGTACTAGCTCAGTCATATACATCAACGTTTGATTGCGGTAACCTAGGTCTCCGCCCGAGCATCGACCTGCTCGCCAACTACTTGGCGAAACTCTATGCTGGGTATCGCCCGGGTTGCAAGCCGATGCCAGACGGCACCTTGCCAGATTCCGCCTAATTATATCCTCTAGGTATGCAGGGGTACTTGCTTGTGCTAGCAACCATTGACTCGCTCATATGATTTGCTGATCGGTTCAGGCACCACCATCCGCACCCAAGCCTGGCTGCTGCGCCGTTTAATATCGATTTTTTCCAGAATCGCTAAACGTCCTCATCGCCCTCGCCAATCGGACTTCCGCAGGCTCATGCGAGATGTGGGAATGGATTGAATTTTGGATGAACCTATATCACGTATGTGCATGTTACACGTACACATGGGGTCGAGCCAGCAGCTTTCAATGATCTCAGGTGCTGAACAAGTCTCGCGGGACGACTCGGAAAGCAGCAGCAGCTACGATGACGAGTCATCGGATGATGGTGAATCCTTGACTGCCACAGAGATTGAAGATGAGCCCACTCCCGTTTGATACTTATGCACTTGCATTAGCTGCATGCAGTATGAGAGTGCATGATGCTAGCAGAGCTTAATGTATATTGTAATTTTCGGCCCTACTGATCCCAGGTCCCGGTTGAGGCCAATCCTGCCGAAGCTGTGCCAGCGCCAACGGCTTCGCATGCGCCGAAACCAACAGCCCGCCGCCCCAAGCCCTCGTGTCGAACCACACCAACACCCTCAAGTGCTCTAGCTGCAAGCCCTCGTGATGGAGCCGGCTCGGCTGGAACTTTGTCACCAACCCGTTGTGGCACAGAACGTTGCTAGGATGCACCTGACCGAACTATACTTAAGCTTATCCCTAAACCCTATAGCCTATACCCTATGGCCCTATGCCCAGGTTCTGCCAGTTCTTCATCCGGGAGGATCATCACGCCGCCTCCGCGCAACTTGCTGGGATAGATAGGGCTCGTGTCGCTGCTCACAGCTACAGTTGGTTTTCGATCCAGGTCTGAGTGCTGTTGCATGATCCTACAACTTAGGTGAGCCATGGTCGCCACGTTCTGATACAATGGCCAAGGCCTTGCACTGCAGCAGAGTTCCCCGTATCGATGATGCCGACCCGAACAAGACCTCCATGACCCCCGAAGAAAAACAACACCAGATGGCCATGGATGAGCAAATGGCCCGGGAATTGCAACAGTTGCAGGAGGAACAATCCGAGCTGGAACAGCTCATCATATTGCAAAGGCTAGAGGAGGAGGAACTACAGTTGCAAGAGTTGCTCAATGAGCAACGTGCTTTGGCAATAGTCGAGAAGCTGGAAAAGCAAAATCGAGCCCCAAGCCCGAAAGCTCCCACCGATGCCCCTCCGATCGTTCACGCAGCTGGTGATGCTAGTGACCAGGCTTGCAATTCCAAGCTCAACCGATAAAGCTTGCCCTGAACCACCCTGAACCCTTGCATATGCTATCGATGGTCTACAGCTGGTAATATAGTAGGCCCGGTACATAACCCTAAACCCCTGAACCCTTATTGATGTGAACCCTTTTAAAAATCGGTCCTGGGCATTAACAATCCTCGCTGTAAGGTACTGGCAACCCTGACAATGCCGAGACCCAGCTGATGTGGCCTGGGGATCTGCAGGAAGATGTTCGGATGTCAGTGCCAGAAGCAGTAGTGCCAGAGTGGCCCAGGTCTGCTTGTGCTGCCTCGGAAAAGGCAGTCGACTCTATGGTGTCGAATGATGCAGTTCCAAAGGCAGGCCCTACTACGGTATCGGAGGATGCAGCTCCAAAGGCAAACTTGACTGTGGTATCGGATCCAGCTCCCGCAAACTCTAGTGTGGTATCAGATCCAGCTCCGGCAAACTCTACTGTGGTATCAGATCCAGCTCCGGCAAACTCTACTGTGGTATCAGATCCAGCTGGAGCTCCAGAGGCAAATACTGTGGTATCCGATCCAGCTCCTAAGGCTATGGTACCAGAGGGCACAGCTACAGGGGCTACTATGGTACCGGAGGTTGCAAGCCCTGAACCACCAAAGACCAAGAAGTCTGCTGAAGCTGCTGAGGCAGTTGAGTTTGCATTAACACCCCACCCTTCCAGCCTATTTCCATTGTGTGCGCATCTGTGTCTGTGTGCCGATGCATGCATATATGTGTATGAATCTAAGGTACTTCCTTCGTGCCCTGTTGAAGCACAGCCTGCTTTGACACCTGCTGAGCAAGCTAAGCTGAGTGGTGCAGTTAAGAAGCGAGCCAAAGGCAAGCAACCCCAACGTGTGCAAGGGGACAGTGAAAACGAAGGGAATGAGGATGAGGATGAGGATGATATGGGTGACACAGATGCAGACTCGTCTGGGGGGACCAAAACCAGGGCGAAGCTCGCCAAGCAGCAGCAAAGTCGTGGTCGCGGCAGAGGGCGCGGCCGAGGGCGGCAGGGAAAAGGAAAAGGAAGGGGAAGGGGCCGTGGTTGTTCCACCAACACGGCAAAGGAAGGGGATGATGAGGATGAACCAGCAAGCCCCCGAGCATCTTCAATCAAACGTGGCAACGGCAATCCTGAGCCTGAGACAAGAAAAAAGAGCAAGGGTCGCAACAACGCGCCAAAGGAAGGCCCTGAGACAAAGGAGGACCCCAGTGAAGGTTCGAGGAATCCCCCAAAGGAGCCACCACTTGCCAAGAGCAAAGCAAAGAAGAAGGAGGAGAAGCCAACAGCTGCCAAGAGCAAGGCAAAGAAGAAGGAGAAGGAGCCACCTGCGGCTGAGGAGAGCGCCCCGCCCAAGACCCGATCCAAACGAACGAAGAACGGACCCGAGGAGCCGACCCCAGAGGAACTGGAGAAGCTCAAAAAGTCCCGGAAGTCATGCGCTTACCATAAAGCCAAGAAGGAGGCGGAGAAAAAAGGATTGTCGGCGGAGGAGATCAAGGAAGCCGCCAGGAAGGAGACTTGTGTTGCAGTATTGTACATGTCATGCTAGCTGATGTGTAATGGTGCACCCATATCAGACCCCAGCTAAGGCATATGCGGACACCGCCTGAAGTGCTTCGGATGTGCTTCGTGATTGTCGATCTATGATGAGCTGGCAAGGGTTTTTGCATGCAACTTGAAACAGTTGCAGTGTTGCACATATGGGGGCTGGATCAGACTTTCACTACAGGTGTTTGCTGATCTAGCTGCAGCCACGCGGTGACAACATCGTGTGGGTGTGTCTATTCGACGGGGCTTGTGTCTACAATCTTGGCTCGTTCTCGAAGCAACCTGTACGTGTGTGAATGTGCACAACGTGAAAAGCCTGATACTGCATGCCATGCACAGCCGGGTTCAAACTCGAACACGCGGTCTCGCACTACGATCTAGCTCCATTGTTTCGCCAGGATGCCACGACTGGAAGGATGGAACATCCGGGCCTCGGTTCAAGGCAGGCTCTTCCCGTGCTCTGCTGCTGAGCTTTTGCTGCTACGGATTAGCATATTGGGTGCTCTAGAAGCATTGTTTGTCGAGATTTGTCGGCCGAGCTTGCATACCAACACGCATGTTTCGCATGTGCAATTCAGCTGGACCAATAGCCCAATAGCTGTGTAGCTTTGCCCCAATGCATATTCATGCTAGAGTTAGCTTGCTTGCACAAGTTTGCTTCTGGAGCAGTTCCTCAAGCCTCGCAGATCATAGGCCACAGTGATGATTGCTAGCTCGTGAGTGTGTGTAGGTGTTTGTCTGAAGCCATGCATTCGATTGTGCTCAATTTGCTCCAGCTCGGAGCCCCGAAGGTACTCCGAATGCATCTACTCAGGGTTTTGAGGGTTAGTTGAGCAGCTTTAATTTGTTCAGGGTTAGCCCAGACCCTATAAGCCCTGAAACCTACGCCCAACCTAGGCCCCCAACTAACCCAAAGACCTAAGCCCATGCAAAAACCTCAGGTCCAAGACCTAACCCCCGCCACAAAACGAAAAGCACTGCCTAATCCTAGGCGAAATAGGGCTTGCACGGTATAGGGTTTGGGGTTTGGGCATAATATATATATATATATATATATATATATATATATATATAATGCGATGTGCTTAAGCGCTTATGTGGCCAGGCCGGATATTACGATAATATGCATGTATGTATATTATACACATATATAACATCATATAATGCCTATGTACATATGATTGTGTGGGTTTGGGGTTTATGAGTAGATATATATATATATATATATATATATAATTAGGTTTAATCGAGGCCGGGTTTAGGGTTTAGTTAGGCTTATTTACCCGACTAACCATCTGCTGCCAAGGTTTTGGTGGCCACCGTCCGAGACTCGTGCTTGAACTTGAGCTTGCTGGCTGCAGCCTTGGATACGGGTTGCTTGCTTAAATAAGGTGCTGTTGCTAAAATGGATGGAGAACCTGACCTTTGGTGAGCGCTTCGAGCTTTTCGACCTTTTCAGTGGTGGTGCTAATGTCGGGAAGGTATGGTCGCTGGGCTGACATGTAGAGATGGCATTCGATTTGGGAGTTGCTTCACAAGGTTTACATCTGAGGCATTCAGAAGGCTACTCTGTTGCCGTGTACGACAAGATGTATGGGCCTGAAATGGACTTCTTAAGCAATTGTGGCTTCTCGCACCCGGGCTGCAGTACAAGGTATAGTATGTTAGGGCGCCTGTTGTGTATGACTGATCCGACAAAGGTTGGCCTTGTGGGTCATACTCAACGAAGTTCCGGATGCCATGAATATGATTGGTCCTGATTGCAGCTCCTGGGGGATGCCTGCTCGATCATCTAGTGGCCGATCATTCGTGAATCCACACGGTACGATGCACCGCACTTTTGTTGCTGACAACAATACCCTTGTATCCCGGAGCCTAGGCTGTGCCTGAGAATCTATATAGGATCGTTTGTGTCTCTTAAGCTACTAGTAGTTAATCGGCCACCCCGAACTAGTGCCTATTGAGGCTGGTGCTGCTGTTGCTGGTCATTGTGGCCAACCATGCGACATTTGTTGTGGAACAACCACGGCAATCATTATTCTGCCGCCATCCAAGATGGGAGTGGTTTGTCAACAATGTTGTCAGGGCGGCTCTCCTTCAAAATGACCCCCAACCTCGATTTGGAACCCCAACCTATAAAATAAGCGGCTGAATGCTAAGCCCTAAACCTAAACACCAACCCCTGAATCACTGGCCCAGAAAACACACACTGCTCTGGCCGAGGTTTTTGAAGTATCCTTCTGGATGATGCTTCACGATGCCCCGACACCGAAACCAACGATTTGTTATAGCCCGATGCAAACAGTTATTTCTCTGGACCTCGGGAAGCTCACCAAACCCGAACGGGAAAGACGAACGAGCTCCACGACAGTTCGTGTTCTGCCTGCATTTAATCTACCCAGTCTATAGACCCCTAAACCTATAGCTAGATCGTATTAATTTCACCCTAAGCCACCCCAAAACCACAAAGCCCATGCTTGCCTAGGCAGAAGCATCGACAAGAACGGCAAGAGCATCTTCAGAGGCAAGGCGCAGGAGATGAAGCAATCTGGGTTCCTTGGTGGTTTCGAGTTGGCATCTCTTGCTATGTTCTAGATCTTTACGAGTGCCTGGCAGCATTGTCGTACCTAGGATGTACACAACCCAATTTGCCAGTGCTCTCCTTCGTGCTTATCGTGGGTGGTGCGAGCTACCTGCTGATCAGAGAGGGGACATCCGTGCCAAGCTTTCTGTAGACACAAGGAAGAGTGATCGCGAGCTTTTCATGGATATGGAAATGGGTGACCTGTGGTTGGACTCCGGTGTCCACCAAGTCTTCATGTACTTGTACGGGTCCAAACATTGCAAGACCCTCCACCGCATCTATATAGATCCTATGTATATATAATATTAATATTATATTAATTGGCAGGTTTTAATCTTCCCCCTTTCAACCCTGCACTGTCCAAGGATCCCGGAGTCGTGGCAGGATGTCATGCGCAGATTCCACGACCAGGCCAGAGATAATGTGTCCTGGGTGCAAGTACTCCAGCAGCCGGGGCCAGGTTCACAGTAATTGCCAGTGGGGTTTAGGGTCTAAGGTGATTTTGGGCTTCACGGGTTGTGGTTTCCGGGAGTTGGGACAAACTGGCTGGTACCGTTATAGTTTACTAGATCTAATATTATTTATTGTATAGGGTGCCCGGGTGTAGATTTGCCCCTAGACCTAGCCTATATAGCCAACCACATGGCAGGGTTAGGTTTCGTGGGTTCCGGGGTTCTGGGGTTCACGGGGGTCGGGGGTAATACACGTACATATAATCTGCATATGTACCTTGTGACATCTGCTAAGAATAGTATATATTTCGGTCATGTATGTATATCTATATATATATAATTTTGTTAAATGAATATCTATATACATATACATATATATATATATATAATATGTACATATATACATACTATGCTATATTATATATACATATACATCTATATATGTGTGTGTATACATATATGTATTTGGCACATACCTATCGATCTTTGTAATTGCAATAGATTGCTTTTCGGACTTAGGGCTGGTTGGATTTAAGGTTGCCACGTTGGGGGTTGAGGCTTGCTTTCTAGGGCAGGTTTGAGAGGGTGAGGCCTGGTTCCAGGATTCCTCCGTACTTGTAATCCCGTTTCCCAACATCCCAAACCCGGCCATATCAATCAAACGGCATCCAAACACCCGGGGCCTCGAAATCCCCAGCCCATCCCCAGCCCTCAACCTAGCTAGTGGTGTTTAATTGAGTAATTATAGGGCACAAACCTCCAAACCTACACCCGGGGCAATCCGGGCGCATATTTCGTGGGGGTTCTACCAGCCCAGGCCTGTGGATCCCAGGCTCTCCGGGAGCAACTTGAGCTGCTACAAGAGCAGCAGAGGGCCGGGGCTTGAACATAAATATGTACATTTGGGCTTTTTTAAATTTAGGTTCAATTATTGACCCCGGGGTACCCGCATTCCGGGCGCATATTCCCGCTAAACGCGCGCATATTCGCGCAAACGGGCGCATATTTAAGAACTGCTCGTAATTTGTCCTAAAAGCAAAAACATTGTGCATTTATCTCTGCAAGCAGCCACAATTCGATCAGAGTGGGTTTAGCTTTCCTGAAAAGAAGAACATCCGGGCTGTTTGGGTGTTGCTCTTGTGGGTGCCTGCCAGCTTTCGAGCAGGATTGCTTGTGTATGAAATGCTGCGATTTGATCTCTAGCCATCTAACATTCAAGCCGCCGGCTTTCCATGGCAGCTCGTGCTTGGAGCTGTCAGTCTTTGACTTCGGGTGTTTCGTTGCTACAAAAGATGATGCCAACAGGGGAGCAGGCTTCCCACGATCTTGCTGCGAAGATCGAAGTTGTTTGTCTGCAACTACTACAGATCACTATCTTGAACCCCAAACCCTGAAGTTATGTGCACCATATACAACACACCGAGGCTGCCAGGAAGAGGATTGCAGATTTGCAATCCAGTCTCAAGCGCCAGCCGAGCCACGCCCTGTTGCCACAGCCTGTGCCAGGCATTCTGCCCAAACTGTCTAAGAACCCTCAAGCCCAATATGTTACAACCCTATGACCCTGCAAGACCTTATAACAACTTAAACCCACGGCCTAATCCTCATAATATATACATATATATATATATATATATATAGATTGATATACATACACCTAGACTACATATATAATATGTATAGATCATATTCCTATAGGCGATATATATATATATATATATATATATCTATAGGAGCCCCCTCTCATATATAAGCTGGATATGTATGTAGTTTTTTGGGTTCAAGCCCAGTTCGAGAATATTCTCATAATGCTAGGTTTTGGGCGGTGGCCTCCCTGGTGCTTTGTAGGTTTCGGGCACAAGGCTTCTAGAGTTTATTAATCTAAATTTATAATATATTGGTATATAATATATAATATATAACATAAAATATATAGTATATACTATATAATATATATATATATATACACACATTATTCGAGGTTTATGTTATATAGCAGTACATATATACATATACATATACATATATATATATGTATGCATGATATGGGCTAGCTGTTCCAGGTACTAAATTGCTAGCTAGGGTTAAGGGTAAGGCTTAAGCCCAGGTTTTGGGTTATAGGCCCTGAGGTTAAGGATTAAGATTTTGAACTGAAGCCCCCTGTGTAGGTGCCCCTGCAACTGTCGGTGTGACAGATGATGCCCTTGCTGTGGCTGGAAAGAGGCCGATGTATCTTGCTGATATGGCAAGGAAGCGGGCCCGGGTCTGCAGTGAAGATGCTCAGCCCTTGTGTGGGCTGTCTTCCCGAACCCTGCAGCTGGGTGAAAGTCGGGAGAGTATGGGGGATGCTCTGAGCAGCCCAAAGCCGAAGCGCTTGCTTGTGTCGCCCTCGCAATCCCCGAAATGCACTGTGTCCCCGAGCCAAGCTGCTGCTGCCCGGAGCGCTCTTGCGGTGGCAGCCAAGCCTGGCCATGGTGACAAAGGGTGGGTGGACCACCACCGTCGCGACCGAGGAGCAAGCCCTCCTGCTTCTGTTGTCTGGATGATATTACATGGTGTCCATCAGCGCTAGTACGTGGGTAGGCATACATGTTGAGTCTCGTGCATGGTTGCTGGATGTAGTACTTAAGGTTCACTCTGCTTCTTCAGCTGCAAGCACTGGGTCCGGTGATGGCAAGCATAAGAAGAAGCGATCGCAAAGCCCGACATACTGGAGGAGCTGTCTCATTTCTGCATGTATATGATCCATTTCATAGTGTCTAGTGCTGCTTCGTACACATGCATGCATATCGACCTGGCAGGCTGAGGCGGTACTTTACCCCGAAATGCGGGGGCGAGCTTAAGTGCTCCCCCGAAGCACTTGCCATGTATAAATCCGAGGACGGACGTGGCCCGGCTTAATATAGCTCGATGACATAGTGAACCCTGCTAGTGCATGATGTGTGTGTGTGTGCGGGTGTGCATGAATCATGTACATACTGCCCTGCTTTCTAGTCCAAAATATATCATGTGCCCAGGCGAGCGTATGCGGGACATGTTGCGCCAGCACGGGTCTTTTGAGACCCTGGAAATACAAGTGAAGAAATGGCACAAGTCCAGCTTGGGATCCTCGCGATCTGGAGGATGGTACACGAAGCATGTGCTGGCAAGCCAATTCCATTGGTCGAAGTGCTATGCATGCATGATCGAAGGATTCTAGCTGGATCGATTACTATAGAGATCATATAGATCCTCTAAACATGTGTTGCAGATCTAGCCGAGGTCCATGATCAATTCGGCATGGGAGTGGGCGAAAGCTCGCAATTTGATCCGGACTAATCCGATCCATCAAGAGCAAGAAGCCAAGCTGCTCATCAATGAAAGCTTTGAGCTATGCACGGAGACAGGCTCCCAGGTCGATCTGTCGGGAACCATCGAAGCCCAGGATTGAAATGTATATTTATGCTTCATGAAAACCGTCACTTGTGTGCAACCAGCTAGCTTCATGTGGCATGTATACGCAGGACGAATCCGGGTTCCTCTTGGAGTCGGATATTCCTGCCTCGTCAGCTGCTCCCGAAGATGTTTTGCGAGAGGCAGCAACAGCCTCGAGTGCAGGGGCAGAGGCAGGAGTGGATGTGGGCAAAGCATCTTCGTTCAAGATACTTAGCACGTATAGGTGAGTGTTAGTCCATGTGTGTGTGTGTGTGTGTGTTAATAACATCAGTATCTCCCTCCCCCTCCGTGCGCACGTCGGCCTCTATGTCTGTATCTGCATGTCCTTGTGTCTATGTCTCTCTGTGTCTGGTTGGGGTGGCTATGGTGTGGGGTGGGGTGTGGAAGTGTGTGTGTGTGTGTGTGGGCGGGCGGGCGGGTGGGGGTGTGTAAGTGTGTGTGTCATATGTGATGTGTGTGTGTGTGTGTGTGTCATGCATGCAGTCTTGAGTGTGGGGATGGGTGGGTCGGCGGGTGGAGGGTATGATCCGAGGATCTCGTTCCCTACGATCTCGCAGAATACCTCCCCCGCTGCCATGCTGGCGAATTTCTTGGAAATCATGGGGAGGAAGATCGATTCCCTGGAAGATCATCTGGACCGTATGGTTTCCGCTGTGATAGCATGCATATGTTTCTATGCTGTGTCCGCATGACATGCTAGCTGCTGCCACATATGTGCAGGAGGTCTTGATGCAGTCCGATCACAATCGTGCAAAGGGGTTTCTCTGCGAAGATTTGATCGTAGTGGGTATGTGCTGCCGGTGGGGTTTTGCATGTGTGTCTGGTGTGCCACCACCTAGGCTTCACGAGCAGATGTCCGTGATTCTGACGCAGATGCAGGAGTACTATAAATGCCTGACCCAGAAGCAGACTCAGGCAATTACGACAGTGCCCGACAAGCTTCTCGATTTGCTTCTGATGGTTGCACAATACCTAGCTTTTGTGCAAATCCGTATGCTTATGGGTGCTGTTACTTCTCTCCTAGCCAAGGGCCTTCAACGATGATCTTCTTCGCCTTTATGCAGAGGTGACCAAACAAGATGTGATTTTGAGCAACTACTTGACCCGCTCGAAGTGCCTCGCATGAACCCCCAAGTTGTTCTTTGGTCCTATCCGTACCCCAAAAAGCCTGGACACCATAATCCTGCACACGCAGTCTCTACGCAAAACCAAAGCCCGCAAATTTAGCTTAAGTGTAATTGGATTATACATATATATATATATATATATAGGGTAGGTATTCGTCGGTAGACATACACGTACGATAATATATATATATATATATATATATATATATATATATAATGTACTTACAAGTTTAGGGTTTAGGTATGGGTCCAGTAGTACAAGGGCTTGACAGAACCCCAAACCCCAAAGCTCCAGGACTGAAATCCGAACCGTTGCCCTGAACCCCAACCCTTACGCTAAACACTATAAGCCTGAATCCTAAACCAAACCCTGACCCTGAACCCTAAACTTGATATATAAGCTTTATAAGACCAAACAACCCAAGCCCTAAACCCAGACCCTACCAAGTCTCCATTCTGGTGCCATGCGCCACCACCCATCCCAGGTCGCTGAAGGGCTCCTCCTGCCCGAGCAAGAAAGGCCCTGGCTCTAGAGCCCCGAAAGCACCCAAGTCCAAGAAAGACAAGAAGGACAAGAAGGACAAAAAGGAGAAGAAGGTGAAAGCCCCAAAGTCCTAAGGAGCTGAGTGTTAGTTGAGATTAGTTCTCCTAATCCCGGGTTGCCGTGCAGCGACATGCCTGCACCTACAGTGCAATCTTCAAACCAATCTGATCAATGTGCTGATACATATAGCTGTTGGTTAGCAGAGATATGCGGGCGACGGTCGCTGTTGTGCATCAATTACGATTCGATCGTGTGCAGCACTGCTAGATGATCGATCATGCATCGATGTCTGTGCTTCGGGGCAAGGGACGTGCTTGACAGCAAGCAGCTCACAAAAGAAAGCGCGCTTTTGGTGTGCACATGCGAATCTCCCTAAATCCTAAAACCCTGAACCCTTAAACCAGGTAAACCCTAAACCGTGTATGTTTCGGTGCCATGTGCAAACGCCTAGTCGCTAGACCCTCGCAGGTGTTTTAGATGATGCTGCTGCTGCTGCCAGCAGCAGAGCGGAGCTTAGCACTTTGTGTGAAATATACGCAGCACAGCCCCACTGCAACCCCACCCGAATGAACTGGTCCTCAGGCTCTGCTGCCAGCGATGAAGATTCTTCGATGGCCGATGACCTTGCCAACGAGCTGTTTGTTGGCTTTGAGGAGGGAGTTCTTTGGTGGCACCCTGGGTGTATTAGTCCCCTAGACCCCTAATACTATAAGCTAAGGCGGAGTCGGCAAGGCGAGTTGTTCGATTGGCCAGGGTGGCAAACACGAAGTTGAGGAAGCATGGTTGCTACACAACCATTTGAGAAAACTTTATATTGTAAGGTTTTCTGATGGGTATTATTTTAGCTCTGGGCTATTCAAAACCGAGTGTTTGTCGATCTACTTGATAGCATAGGGCCTGTGTGCTTGATCGGAATTTGCTGTGCTTAGGTATTGTGGACCATACGCTTAGCTTGATGGCACGCTGTGCTGGCAGCAAGGGCAATGAATGCGAGAGACTGCACCAGCTGATTCATGCTAAAGGGAAAGCCTTGCCTGTTGCAGTGGCTGCAATTGATACAAGAGTAGTGGTGTTGACTGGGAAACCACGGGTTGAGACGATTGGATGGCCAGTGCTGAAACTTTCAGCATGGGCCCAGCAACTGTTCAGTACTGGCGGGAAGGTTCTGCTTGGAGGCCACAGCCTCGACCATCCCCAAGGATTCCGTAACATGTTCACAACATTCTGGAAACGGTTTCGACATGTACGACCTGATCTGGACATTTATGATCGTACTGATCGGGATATGGCCATGTGTATACCCTTTGCTTTGCATGGCGACGAGGGGAGAGGGAAGCTTCGCCGTCCGGTGATGATATTGTCATATCAACCTATTATCAGCCACAAGGGGATTCATTTCGTAAACAGCAGTGGGTATCTGGGTTGCAGTAATGCATGATTTTAGCTAGTGGTTGTGTGTGATTTGTCACAGTCTAAAACATGCAGGCCCCATAGGACCTGAATTCAATAGGTTTCCCATATGATCGATGTCCGCAGGCACAGCTTCACCACGCGCTTGCTGTACACGCTGGTTCCGTCCCAGGTGTACTACAAGAAATACACTCTTGATATGCTGCATGCAGGGATGGTCGAGGATCTGCTAGCATTGTACAACGATGGCTTCAAGGTGCCCTTCCTAGAAATCTACAGGGTTTCTATATTACCTATGTATACAATTATAAACTATTAATTTTAACGTATACACTATACACCATATCCTATAGGTTCTGGGTTTTCCCATAAGCAACTAGTGTTAATTCTTGCGAGGTTGAATGGAAAGGCCGGAGCTATACGTTCTACTTCGTGCCGGTCTACTTAAAGGGGGATTGGCCGTATTTGCGGTCGGCTGCACATCTCAAGACTGGTTTCACTTCTACAAGAAAGTGCCATTTATGTCCGGCTACAGTCCTTATCCCTTCTTCAGCAACATGTTCCGAATCTTGTATATATACAGCTAGCTAACTGCATGTAGTTGAATCGGGTGTGCTGCTATAGGATTGGTACAATGTGGGACCAACTTCTTCTACGAGGGCATTTCCAAGGGACGGCGATGTTGGAGATCCTTTTAAGGCCATCAGGTCACCACTTCGTGATCTCCCAAGTTGTGACAACCCTCTCTGGATTCAGCCCGATGCAGCCCACACGTATGCCATCTCAGGTTGGGGCAAGAATTGGGTAGCTTCAACGATCCTGATGATGGTCAATTTGGGTGCCTTTGGGTCTAAAGGTTGGCGATATCTGGGTAGGAAGCTGGATGAAGCATTCGGGTGCTTCAAGCAATGGTGCAAAGAACATGGCAAAACGACGTCGTTGACAGAATTCAGCTTGAAAACCTTCAAAATGAAATCGATCCTTACAATACAGACCATTTATTATTTTTCGCTATTTGGTTATAGGGCTCGGGTTTAGGGTTTAGGTAGGTTTAGGCGCGATCTATTAATACATGCTGTCAAGCAATCCTATCCGAGGCTGAAGAATTTCCCGGAAGGGTGTGGGAAGGGTCACGACACTGCTGTGCTGGGCGCCTGGCTGAATGATTTCATCCTGGGTTTTGACCCGTCTTCTCTGGATGCAGCTGGCCCAGCATATTGGTACCGTTCCTTAGATAAGATCGAGTTCTATAGAATTTAACCCATCATATTACGGGTTAGACCTACTGACACACCCCACCTTTAGTTATACGATGCCTAGCTACATGATCGGTACCTATTGGGATTAGGCTTTTCTAGGGCCGGGAATTGGGTTCGAAATATTAATTAGGCCTGGGACCTGTGCTATTTTGAAGGCGACGCCGTTTTGAGGGCTTTCGTTATAAGGACAGCGACCGCAAGTTGTATGATCTTTTGAAATGGACATCAATGGCTGTTTGCGTCTATTGGAGAACTTTATATGCCTATGGGGTTTGGATTCCTGAATCTGCCGCCAGAGTGGCAGTTGAAGCTGGGCTCAAGATGCTGGAAACTTAGCTTGCAAACTCAGGAGCCTGGCTTTTCTTAATTATTACACAACCAACTATATAGTGACGATTACTCCGAAGCTTCTCGGGATCGGGGTATTGGTACTCAGGAGGGCTATCACAACTTGGCTTCCCAAACTGCACATCTGGGCTGGTGCTTCTACAAGCTCAGACCCAAGCTGCACATGCAGCTACACCTGGTGTCACTTAGTTGCAATAAGCTCTATGTGCATGTGCTTTTGCACCTGGGGTTTGGGATTCAGCTCTGTGCCGGTGTTGGAGCAGGCTATACATGAAATACCAGCTCGTGGATGGTGCTTCTTGGGTATTCTCGCCCTTATGCCCCTGGGAATTTACATAGTGGCCGGGGTTTTGCTCGATCTTTAACGTCAGCATGTTGATTGCATTTCACACAGCACAACAGCTCAGGCTATGCCTGCTGGTCCGACGAGGATTTTATAGGACGTGTGGCTAGGATTAGCAGGCGAACCCATAGCTTTACCACAGCGACAAGAAGCATCGCTCGGGCTTTAATGAAGTACAAGCGAGAATTCTCCAAACTTTAGCCCAGCAACAAGTCAGCTCGTCGATGAAAAAGACTCGCGAGCTCTGAGGCCAGCGATGATTTGTGCACTTTTGTGTGTATGTGTGCGCTTTTGGGTTTATGGGTGCGTTCAGGGCAACGGGTTTTGAGCATTAATTTTTCGAGCGCGAATTAGTGTATCACTTAAGGGTCTAGGATATATATATATATACATATGTATATAAATAACATGCCATGAATTATGGGCTCAGGATGGCTCAGGGTTACGGTCGACCATCAAAACTCAGCCCATCAGACTTTTGGGCTGTGGGATATAGGGGGCAGTCTCCAGGGCTGAGGCTCTGGGAAGATATATGGGTAGTTGTCAAAATTAGGGTCCTTTTTTGGGTCCCTATATTAATACGGCACCTAATATTTAGGGTACCCAAAAAGGCAACTACCCATGTAGAGTTGACCAACACGAACGAACCGGCTCTTCCTGGATCTTATTCACGAGGTGTTGAGCCTTGGGTTTCGGCAATCAACAACCATGATTTCGGTGCTGATGGTTGAGGGTCTAGGATGTAACAGACACCCCGTTTTGTCCTTCTTCCAGAACCCTATACAAACCCTCAGCTTGAACTCAGTCCGAGTCGTGATTTGGTGAAGAATTCCACATCGTTCGGAGTACGGATGGATTTTTAACTGGAGCTGAGGCTCTATGAAGTATTTGTGGAGTATGGTTGGCGTTGCATGTTGTTGGTACCCGGTTGAGAGTTGTGAGGCGTTGTTGATCTTGCTCTACCGTCACCGAGAACCAACCACAATGTCTTCACCCAGTGTAACCGACCGCAACTAAGTAATCCAACCCATCTAAACGAACCTAACCTAAGCTAATCAAGCAAAGCATAAAAACAAGCCAGCTTAATGTGACAGTCATGAACTCTAACCTTGCCGACCCTAAACTAACATGATATGATCTCACAACTCCCACATGCTAACCCAACCTAATCGAATGCGGCTTACCCCAAATCCTGGCCTAACCTTAACCTAGCCGAACCGCCATTCCCAGCACAATTGCAAAAAGAGCCCACCGAGCGAGCCCCCAACGAAACGCAAGTCTCGAAACCCTATAGCAATTATGCATATAGCCCTTAAACCTAGACCCGAAACCCTCATGTTACGGACTTTATAACTAGAATGGGGCTTTGGGGGTAATTGACTCAAAGGGACCTGAAGGAATAGTATGGGTAACACTGTAATACTTGGAGATTATTCAGGGGTCTTTGTTCGTACCCCTGAAGCCAAGAAGTGGGGCCCTGACCTTCGCTGTGCTACTGCTCTCCGAACAGGCCTCAATCAAAAGTGGCGAGGGCCTGGGCAGCAGCGGCTGTTTTTATTTGGGTGGTTGGGTTTCGTAGGCACCCCGAAACCCTGTAAACCCGAAGCCCGAAATCCTAAGCCCTAGAAACCGCAGGAGCTTTGAGATGTAGAGTTTGTTAGGCATTGCCGATCAATAGTGGCTTGAGCCTTGCAAGGGCATACCTGCTTCCCCTTTGGGATGGCAGGTGTGTGTTAAGGCTAAGGGTTTAAGCTCCGAGTCTAGAACTTCAGCTGCAGCATTCTTGCGAAGGTGTAGAGAAGCCGAGGGGGAGGGCCTTGGAACGTTTGTACGGTGAGTGCTCAGAGCCAGGTACTCTTCCCGGAAGCCCAAAACCCTTAAGCTCCTAAATCCCTCAGTTTGGGCTTGGGGGTCTTCCGAAGCTCTGCTGAAATCAGTTTGACGACGTGTCTGTATAGGTTTCATACGCTAAAGCCGCTTAAGCACAGGCCTTGTTGGGGCGCTCCCTGAAGGCCCGAAGCCTCCTAGACCCAAACCAGGCATTCGAAGAGATGAACTCTGAAGTTCCATAGTCTTGAGCCTTGAGAGATCTGCATCAACTCAAACGCTCTGAACTTCATAAAGGCTTCTCGATGCGAGAAACTTAAACTGAGGGTATAAATTCTGTATACAAACCTTGTGAACGCCTATGCTAACCCTATAGACCGTATCCGCACCCACATGAAAGGCTACTTGTAAACCCGAAGGCGTCTGACAACTGCTGCCAGGATGCACGGGCTTGATAGTAGGCGTCTCCAACAGATCAAGGCCCTGCTGCATTTGCCTGCGACGCGCTCGTATCATCAGAAGCAGCAAGCTTTACGGGTGTAGGGCCCACGAATCGCAACTAGACTAAACCCAAGCCCTAAACGAACCCTAGAAGTAACGAAACAACTACAGTTATAATTACTTTCAAAACCCAATTAAGGTACTTATACCCCGCAGCATCAGAAAGAAGCCTCGGCCCCAGCCCATTCTCCGGCTCAGTGCTTCGAGTCTTTGGTGCTTCAAAGCTCCAGGTCTCGGAGGGCTCAGGATTCACGGGTTTCTAGCGGTACTGCTGACGCACAGTAGGTGCCAATTTCAACAACTAGACCCTAAACCCTAAACCTTAAACAACAAACGACTCTAAACCCAAACCCTAAACCCTAAACAACAAACGAGTCTAAACCCCGATTTGCGAAACTAGCTTCGGCCCCGAAGTCGTTGCCGCGCCTTGGCAGAAAGGCCGGTGCCGGTGCCGGCAGCGTTGCATCCGAGGTCAAGGCCTGGCATAGCTACTTTTGTTTATCTAAAGCCCCAAAAGTAAGTAAAATAATGGCCTAATACCTGCATGTAAAAGGCTGTTATTCTACATACTTTGGGGGTCCAGGTAGGGTCTAGGGTTTACTTCTTTGCGTGCTCGTGTGTTTCAGCATTTTCTGTGCTTTCAATGTGCTTGGATTCTTCTGGAAGCCTCTGCCAATAATTACGTTGTGTGCGTCTCTGCGGCACGAAGCTGCTGACCAATGGGCAATGGCCACTTAAAGGTGTGCGCCAGATTCCTTTCTCCAATGCCAGCAAGGCGTGCCCCACACCTTCTCGAACCATGAATAATGGAAGCGAGAGATAGGGATCGCGATGCCTGTTCCGACCCAGCTCCCATTGTTTCGGGGAGGGGGATGGCCCGATCGACGTGCCTGTGTGCTGTGGCCTCGCCGTCCTGCTCCCGCCAGAGGGTAAACTGAAAAGTCCGAAGTTAAAACAGGCTGGATCAGGCTGAAGTTCAACGTCGTCGCCGAAGCAAAAACAGGTTTTGCGGCATCCTGTCCACATCTCGGGCAAAACTTG